TCAAAAGGTCAAATTTGGTGGTACCCAAAAGAAGTCTTCTCTCTAGAAAATACACATGTGAAATATGAATTTCTTAGCTCTACTAAATCAAAAGTTATGAATAAGAATAAAAGTTTTTGCGGACAAACAGAGAGACAGAAAGACAGACAGACGGACACGACAAGAACTATATACCCCCCGAAACTTTGTTTCCGGGGGCATAATTAAAAAAATTTAAAATGCAACCAACAGGTATCGAACTCACAACTCTTTGCTTGATATGCATACATTCTAGACACTACGTCACGAGTTCCAACTTCCTGGTTGAACAAGACAGTAATCCGTACTTTATAGTTTTAAGAAACACGATTGCTGTATAATAAAATTGCAGATTTTCTGTAAAAACAAATTATTTCGATTTGTTCAATCTTTGAACGATCAAGTTAATAAATGAAAGGCTAAGATACAATAGAACTGCCGTGTCTATACTTTGTTTACAAATTTGCGACAAATGTCGCGTTCAGTTTGACAGATTATGTTCAAGTTATAGGTGACATTATATAAGCATGAGCCTATAATAGCTGACCTTTTCCCGATTAACAATATACAATGATGAAAAACATCAAAGTTCAGGTTAGCTAACCGGTCCATCCCAGACCCTGGGTCATTTTGAAACGTTGACAGGAGACACCCCCTAAGACCCTTAACCTATCCTCGGTGTTAGTTGGTTTAGGTGCCCAATAAAGCAAGACAAATGAATGCTGTAAAATAATATACCCCACGCACTTGGCACCTCCAAGTGGTGCCACTACAGCCCCATTCTGAAAGTGGAAAGTGATAGCTTTAGGGCCCCTCTACCTTAACCCAATCATTCGATGAACACTTCAAGGATAAGGCGTATAATAGTTGCCCATTTCCCGTTTCACAATGTACAATGATGAAAAACAACAAAGTTCAGGTTAGATAACTGGCCCTTTCCAGCCCCTACGACCCTGCAGAAATCTGTCAAGGGATACCTTCTAAGGCCCCTTACCCCTCACTAGTGAAAGTTTGTACAGGAGGCCGGCAATGGATAAAATATGAATGCTGTAAATATTCCCCACGCACTTGGCACCACCAAGTGGTGCCACTACAGCCCAATTCTGAAAGTGGGGAGTGATAACCTTAGGGTCCCTCTACCTTGTCCCAATAATCATCCGATGAACACTTCAAGGATAAGGCGTATAATAGCTGGCCTTTTCCCATTTCCCAATGCACAATGATGAAAAACATCAAAGTTCAGGTTAGCTAACTGGACCCTTCCAGCCCCTAGGACCCTACAGAAATCTGTCAATGGGTACCTTTAAGGCCCTTTACCCATCCCCGGTGATAGTTTGTTCAGGAGGCCGGCAATGAATAAAATATGAATGATGTAAATATGCCCCACGCACTTGGCACCTCCAAGTCATGCCACTACAGCCCCATTCTGAAAGTGGGAAGTAATAGCCCTAGGGCCCCTCTACCTTGCCCCAATAATCATTCGATGAAAACTTCAAGGATAAGGCGTGTAATAGCCGGCCTTTTCCCGTTTCACAATGTACAATGATGAAAAAATATCAAAGTTCAGGTTAGCTAACCGGCCTTTCCCGGCCCCTGGGGCCCTTTGAAATTTTGATAGGAGATACCTCCTAAGACCCTTAAACCCATCCCCAGTAAAAGATGGTTCAGGTTCCCAGAAATGGAGGACAATTGAATGCTTGAAATATGCCCCACGCACTTGGCACCACTTGGTGGTGCCACTACAGCCCCAATTTGAAGGTGGGAAATAATAGTCCTTGGACCCCACTACCTTGCCCCAGTAATCATTTGATGAACACTTCAAAGATATGGCGTATAATAGTTGGCCTTTTCCCGTTTCCCAATATACAATGATGAAAAAGCATCAAAGTTCGGGCTAGCTAACCGGCCTTTCCCGGGCCCTGGGGCCCTTTGAATTTTTGAAAGGAGATACCCCCTAAGACCCTTAAAACATCCCCAGTGAAAGATGGTTCAGGTTCCCAGAAATGGAGGACAAATGAATGCTTGAAATATGCCCCACGCACTTGGCACCACTTCGTGGTGCCACTATATCCCGAATTTCAAGTTGGGAAATAATAGCCCTTAGCCCCCACTACCTTGCCCCAGTAATCATTTGATGAACACTTCAAAGATAAAGCGTATAATAGCTGGCCTTTTCCCGTTTCCCAATATACAATGATGAAAAAACATCAAAGGTCGGGCTAGCTAACCGGCCTTTCCCGGCCCCTGGTGCCCTTTGAAACATTGATAGGAGATACCCCCTAAGACCCTTAACCCATCCCCAGTGAAAGATGGTTAAGGTTCCCAGAAATGGAGGACAAATGAATGCTTGAAATATGCCCCACGCACTTGGCACCACTCGGTGGAGCCAGTACAGCCCCAATTTGAAGGTGGGAAATAATAGCCCTTAGACCCCACTACCTTGCCCCAGTAATCATTTGATGAACACTTCAAAGATAAAGCGTATAATAGCTGGCCTTTTCCCCTTTCCCAATATACAATGATGAAAAAGCATCAAAGTTCAGCCTAGCTAACCGGCCTTTCCTTGTCCCTGAGGCCCTTTGAAACTTTGAAAGGAGATACCCCCTAAGACTCTTAACCCATCCCCAGTGAAAGATGGTTCAGGTTCCCAGAAATGGAGGACAAATGAATGCTTGAAATATGCCCCACGCACTTGGCACCACTTGGTGGTGCCACTACAGCCCCAATTTGAAGGTGGGAAATAATAGCCCTTAGACCCCACTACCTTGCCCCAGTAATCATTTGATGAACACTTCAAAGATAAGGCGTATAATAGCTGGCCTCTTCCCGTTGCCCAATATACAATGATGAAAAAACATCAAAGTTCAGGCTAGCTAACCGGCCTTTCCCTGTTCATGGGGCCCTTTGAAACTTTGATAGGAGATACCCCCTAAGACCCTTAACCCATCCCCAGTGAAAGATGGTTCAGGTTCCCAGAAATGGAGGACAAATGAATGCTTGAAATATGTCCCACGCACTTGGCACCACTTGGTGGTGCCATTACAGCCCTAATTTGAAGGTGGGAAATGATAGCCCTAGGACCTCTCTACCTTGCCCCAGTAATCATTTGTTGAACACTTCAAGGAATAGCTGTTCTCTAATATTTTTTTCTGGATATAACGTAAAACCGAACGTCAAGGTTAGCCTACTAGCCCATTGCGGTCCCTGGGACCCTTTGTAAGGTTGATAAGGAATACTTCCTAAGGCCCTTTATTCATCTCCAGTGATTAGTTTGTTCAAGTGGCCAATAATTGATGACAATTAATTGCTTGAATTATGCTCTACGCACTTGGCACCACCTGGTGGCACCAATACAGTCCCGTTCTGATAGCACTAAACAAAAGTCCCGGGGCCCTTCTACCTTGCCCTAGTTACGATATGGTGGGCACTTTATAAATTATTGGTATAATACCTGCCTGTAATATTAAAAATGCTCTTGGAACCACTTGGTGGCACCACCACCACTTATTACTGATAACGGTTATTATTAGTCTTATAGACCCATAAAGTTGCTCGGGTAATAATGTTCGAAACATACTTCAACGTAGTTTACACTTGTGTAATATTTCAGTTTACAATCGATAGAGTAACCAATTTTCAGGTTAGCTTATTTGCGCTGTCATATTCTTGAGGTCCCTGAAAGAGTTGAAAAGATATTCTTCTTGAAGTAGTTAACCTTTTCTCAGTGCTTGTTTGATCAAATAGACTAAGATGATTGTGCAATTTATTTCTTTTATTCAGTTTCAAAAAAGAATATTTTTCTTCAGGTGAGCCTTACTGCCCCTGAGTGTTTAATTTATTATGTAATTAATTTTCGCATTAATTATCCAATCATTAACCCTAAATTATCTAAAATAAAGTATAAAACCAGCATTGCGTCTGAGTACTCTCAGTTCTTTGATGAATTTCCTTATTGGCTGCTAGCTTCTACGGGCTTAGTGGCTGCTGTTATTGGCTGCTAGCTTCAGCCTGGTAAATTTTTTTTGTAAAAGTGGGTAAAACTCTAATGTCAGGGTTAGGAGGTTAAATAAGAAAGGAATACATGATATGTATACCTGTGAAATATAAAAACCATAGCCGAACCCCCTTAAAAGGTATGGACGCGATTAAAGGCTTTTGAGTTCAAACAGACAAACAGATTAACAGACAAACAGCTATAAATACGGATAGATAGGGCAAAAACTACTCTCGAATCTTCAATTATTGGGGCATAAAAACGAACCATTTATTTGATCAACTGTCATGCATGAGCATAGACTTAACAGGCTTGGCATTACAATATATGCTCATTTACATCAAACATTTTGTTTTGATATTTTCAAAAAACAGAGCAGAGTAGACTCATTCATGGAGAAAATAAATTATTTGAGGAAGGTGGAAGACGATGGTCAACAGGCTTATACGTTTAACATGTGGAAACTGATACAAATAAGTATATTAATATTTTTGTATATTTGTACTTATGTTGTTTTCATTTTTTTTTTTCAAATCCGAATGTGCGTGTGAGGGTGTTTGGTGTGTGGTTGCACACCGTTTTGTTATAGTATGTGTATGTACTGTACATGATTATTCATTGTAGATACTCTATCTATTTTTGATTTATGCTAATTCATTATTTCAAAAATAAAAGTTTATACCATTTGTGCATCAAACAAACGATTCAAAAAGGTTGTTTATGCATCTGTATACATTTGAAGTTATAATGAATATTAGTACCGGTTTGAATTTGACCAAAAAATTGCAAAAAAGTACTTTACTATAAATTTTTAGATGAAGGACCCCCCCCCCCCCTGAAGTTGTTCAAAGTTCAAATGCAACCTCAAACGGTTTAATAAGTCCTTATCTGAGTCATAATGTTAATAATAAAAAAATCATGCTATTCATAAGAATAAACGAAGTTAGAGTAGAAAACAAAATTCAAATACAAAATCTTGTATTCTTACATGTATTTCCAAAGAAGGGATTCATCAGAGTGTTTGTTATCCAGATATTTTCATTTTCTGAGTTTATTTCTGTCAAATACGCCTGGAATCCTTCACATTTCTCCTGATAATGACATGTTATGAAATTGAAACAATCCAAATATGAACAACCTGATTCAAATTGATCATAAAATTTCTACTTTGTTAAAACATACCTTGGCTTCCTGCCAAGTAAGATTTGATGCTTGGAGTAAGTAGATGTGGTCTTCATACATCTTCCATTCTGTATAAGACATTGTTTAGGATCATAACTTATTTTTATTTACAAAAATAACAATACACATGTACAAATAAAAGTAACAAACCGCTAGCTAGATTAGTTTGAATTAGCCAATGCCGAGTTCGAGGAAACGATTATGACGTCTCATTAGAGCTGCACAAATAAATATCGACGACAGGATACTAAATATTCTTGTTATACAAATGACATTTTTGTCATAGATAATACGAACATTAACCGAGGTGCAACTTATCCTGTCATAATGACACTATTTGCAAGTTGAATAAATGCCTCCTTGATAACACTGCAATTTCGTCACACACTAGTTTGCCACACAGATTATCTGTGTTTGAGCCGTACAACAAGGTTTTTTTTAGATATGAAAATTTAAATTAAAAAAGCGTGGTCTGACCGAATTTAACAAATGTTCAAGATTGTATTAATCAATATCTTAAAGTCTAATTAAATTTACAGCGTTTAGACCTCCTATTACTATTAGTCCACAATAAGGCACAATTAAAGAGTTAACCAATAGAATGACAGGTACAGCGCCTCGAAATACCAAAAGTTCCAGTTGTGCTTTTTTTCATAATTTAACAATTTCAAAGTGTAATATTTCTACAGAGATGTGTAACGAAAAAATGGTAAATTAAATAATAAAATGCTTCTTTGATTGTAAGTACTGGAATAAATGTCGCAGCTTTTTCAGAAAACACACATAACCCACGTAAGCGGCATTTGTGAGATGTTGAAACAAATCTTAATTTCAGGGTAATTGAAATTTATCATCAACTTATTAGGGAATTCTTTTAAATAAATTAAATACATAAGAGACCTATGGACAGTTAAACTGACAGTTTGATTTAAATGTACATTGCAATTCAAATTTATACAACATTAAGCAAATATACATCATCATGTATATGCAAATTTAGATTTTATATCCCATCCTTTAAAAAAAAACATGAAAATAACAAAAAAAATATAATGATCTAAAATACACATGAACAAATTAGCATGTAGACAATTTATAAAACATGGACGGCAGAAGATTCGGCATATAACACAGAACGATATTTTACTTTGCACATACATATGGACTAATTGATCATTAATATACATGTAGGCATGCAGCTTCTTAAAACTATAATTTCAATAAACATTTAAAATGAATTCCATATTACCACAACTTGGACCCATCGTCCACGCTCCCGTTGATTGACATGTCAGAAACCTGGATCCAGTCAGATAAAACTCCTGGTAGCATTTGATATACATTCTTCTCAGGATCCCTATTCCGTCCCATCTGTCTGTATTATTTATATCAGCTCCTTCTACATGGGGTATACCACAGTCTGTATAACAGATAAAACAGTTAACGACTCTTTCAATTATGGTTTGCTTATTATATGTTATCTACAGTTAAGGAGGTCCGCTGATAAAATTGGTATAGAGTCAATCCTTATTTTCAAATGCTAATTCCTCCATGTTACCCGTTCCCACCTCTGATGTTTTGGAGGTTCGCAAGTTTCATCTGCTCCCATTTTCTATTGTTTAATGGACTTTTGAGTTTGAATACTGTTCTTCGTTATCCCCATGTGTACATTAACTAACTGCGTTTATTCTATGGAATAAGACTTTTCATTCGGTCACACCATGATTTATGTCCGTGGCCCCTGATGAGACTTTTTAATAGCCGAAACACTCTACAACTACTTGCATTCTTAAATCATATATTAATCTGCTCTAATAAATCTCTTACAAGTTTGGTTGATTGATGTTGCTAATTTTCATACAATAATACCCTTCATTCCATTACTTTGTCCCAACGTTTTACCAAGCAAGAAAACTCCCACGAGAATATCAGACTGTGAATACAAGGATATATTGAAGGACCAGATCAACTTAAACCAGGAAGACTTCATTCAGGATTTGGACAGTCATGTGAATATTAATCTTCTTATTATCATCATATGATACTAAGACGGATCTTTATTTTAGCCTCATATTATGACACTATGTACATCAGACGGCTTAGCATCTTCAGGATTTAATTACTTTAAAAAATTGGTGTGCATTAGCCACCCAGTGGACCAGCTCTCAAACAAACACCACCCCCTCGCACGTGACCATAACGAATCACCGGAATCTGGCTATCGGTTTCTTATAGCCACATACTTTTCTTATCCTCTAATCTATCAACACTTATTGATAATTAGACGGATTCGTTATTTCATCAAAATACTCATTGTTGATCTATAGCGCCTCGCTATATACAATATATTTACCACCTACTGCTCCTCTATTTGAATGGCTCGACGAATAAATAGACGGAGTAAACACCGCAAAAATGCTAAGCGCACTTGTAATTATCTATGGGGAGTTAAAGCTCACTGCAAGAAAACTACGGCCACAGGGGGAAAGTTTGTTCTAAATTATCAAGATACAATTTATCCCAACATGAACTCTCAGTTCTGAGCAAAGGTTTGAAATTCATTCCAACGCCTAAAAGCGATAATGCTAAAAGCCTGCTTCTAAAAGATTTTGAAGAATTTGCCAGGAAACTCAGATGCAAATTTCATTTGATACCGGAGACCTTTAAGGGGAGACAGGACACATGTCACATGACTAAAAAGACATATTACGTCATAATCGGTGATTATATACATGTTAAACGTTGTTTAAATCAACAGTTCTTGTGTAATTTTATTCTAAATTCTAAAATTGTTTTTCAAACATTTAATTTTAGAAATTATTATTAATAAAAGTTTTATAGATCTTGCCATTATTTAGATATTATGAAGTTGCCCGATCCACACCTTTGTTTCTCTTTACCCTGCAGTCTGACGTCAGTGACGTCATAGACGTAGTGTTTGAATTCTCAGTGCAGCGATATCAAGTACACACACCCGTCATGATCAGTTTTATTTCAAAATAAACAGGTCACAGTCAATGTATCGTGATAAATTTGTGAAGCAGATTTTTTTAATTAATACTTTTCGTGTTTAGTAGCAGAGATTCTCTCTATTTCAATAATTTTGTTGTTTATGTTTTCGTGTGACGTCACAATTGATTTTCCACACTCGGAAAATACGAACGTGAAGCGTTTTTATCATGCTCACGTCTAATTCAACGATGTCCTATGCGATATTGAGGTAAGCTTCACCCTGTGATTTTTATGCAGTGAATAATTACGATGAAGGACTGGCATTAAATCGTAAATTTAGAAATATTTATTAACAGAATTTTTTCCAAATGACGTTTTCGTCGTTGAAGCTGCCTTGCAAAATGCAGAAATTATCCCACCCAAATACTATATAAAATTAAAAAAATTGCTTTCAGATATTTTAAACACTATGAATATTCTGAAATATTTGATTATATAGTGTTACCTGTCATATTTATTGTTTGTGCGTAAAAAAAAACGCATTATGGACCCCGTTATGGGCCTGTAAACATGCAGTATCTCAACTCCGTAGAAACTCTAAACAGGGTGGTATTTGTGTGGCGATATCTTTTAAATAAGTCAAGAAATCCCATAACAGGACCGTTTTAAAATAATAAGTACATAATAAATAAGTAATATAAAAAATACGAAAAAAATTTACTGACAGGATTTTTTTCAGCGAAAGGTCCTGTTCCTCCTTAAATCAAAATCTGGCGTCAAACCGCAATTTACATGCAGCAAACTCGAGGAATATATAGATAAAACAAAATTGGAACTTTCCTCTTTGAAAATTGTATAAAAAAAAGAAAAAAAAAAAGATCAAACATCTCAAATGCTGAAAGAGAAGCTATTTTATCTCTTAAAAATAACAACGACATTGTTATTAAAAAAGCAGATAAAAGCAACACAATTGTCATCATGAACAAGGACCAGTATGTCTTAGAAGCGCAACTGCAATCTAAACACTATATGCAAGTATCTGAACCCAACATGCTCAAACTGCATGAAAACATTCAAAATAAACTCGCCGAAATGCATTCAAATGGGTCACTGACAAAGCAAAATTGTCTTCCACGGCAGATACCGTGATGACGGTTTAATACTATTCAATGGAACGCAACCAGAGATAGAAGAATTCTTCAATATTGGCAATCACTGTCGCAAGCATCTAAGATTTACATTTGAAATTTCTCCATCTGCTGTGAACTTCCTTGATACTACAGTTTACAAGGGACCGAAATTTCAAAATCTTAACAAACGTGATATCAAGTCGTTTATCAAACCAACAAATAACTTTCAATATCTACACAGACAGAGCGCTCATAGCCCAGCTGTGTTTAAAGGATTCATTAAAGGAGAATGCATTAGACAAGCAAGAAATACTACTGACCCTGAAATATTACATGCAACACTCAATGACTTCAAGACGCACTTATCAAAGCGAGGCTACTCTACTTCGAAAATTGATCCTACTATCAACAAAACGATCAAAACAAACCGATCAAAACTCATCATCAAACACATTAAAGAACAGCCATTACGTAACCCTGCAGTACTGGATCCGGTTGTATCAACGGTTCATTAAATTTAATGAATTATTAAGCCTAATGATTCATTAAATTCTTAATGATACATTAGTTAATAAAGTCATTAAAGTGTGTTGTACAAAACCTTTATTAGGGTCTTATTACTTAATGAATCATTTAATATTTAAGAATTCATTAAAGATTCATTAACATTAGGGGAATATCCCACAATGCAATGCATTAATACTTCCGGATGCGTATCCGTGGGCCTTTTCGTTGTTTACAAAATACCTATAATAAATAAGCTCTAATTAATAAAATATTTTTTTTTAAATCAACGAATAGAAATCGTTTTAATTATGACGTGAAAATTAAAAAAAAAAAATGCGTCATTTAACGAAGTCTGTAAGTGTCTTGAAGGATATAGACCTAACTATTTATTTACTTACGGAATTCAATTCAATTGTAATAGAAATCAGGGAAAAAAAAAATATTTCTAGCGAAATTTAACTTTTAACCGAACTTATGTAGAGAAATATCGATATCATAAATACATGTAGCTGGGGGAGGGGGGGGGTTATGGAAGGGAAATACAACCAAAAGTCTGTGTATTTCGCTTTCATTCTTATTATGTCTAGTTGTCTATTATTTGGTATCATTCAGGCACCGGAAGGGGGGGGGGCGTTCCTTCCTTTTTTTCCTCTTTATAATCTGCATGGGGTCGACACAACTTGTTCCTGTTTATATGTATTCTTATATGAACTCTACCTGATTGATAATGTAACTCTTTTGTCTCAATAAGCTGTTCACATTCGTGCTTATTACATGTCACTTTGATTTTTTTCTCTTCAATTACTCCTATGTTGTTCTATTCTTATAAATTCATTTTTAAAATTCAGTCACACAGAGAATGAAACTCATTCTACGAATGTACATTTAGATATAAACATAATAATGGGAGGGGGTTCTAGCAAAATTCAACTTATTTCTAACAATACGAATAGAAGAAA